AATTAGACTTGAAACTTCAATTTGTGTATCTGGGATTATTAAATTATTTCTTTTTAACTGTTTTATTAAAATAATCGTCTAAGGCCTACTTATTTATTTCCAGTAACTTCTGGGGTTAAATCTCAAGGTTCTATTCTTGGTCCTGTTTTGCTTCTTATCTACATTATTGATCTTCCCAACAACCCTATATCTATAGTAGCTCTTTTTGCTGAGGAGTTTTTGCTGATGACTTTTAGCTGATGACTGATGAGTTTTTACTCCTTTCTTGACAAAAAGTCTTCTCTTTTTGATCGCTTAGAACAGGCAGCCAATTTGTAACAGAATGAGGTTCACATTTTGGCTTATAAATTTCTGTAACAGAATGAGGTTCACATATTTTGGCTTATAAATTTTAACTCCAACAAAACTCAGTTATTTACTGCAAACAATTACCGCAATACTGTCGACATTTCTATATTAATAAATGGTAACCTTCTTACTGAGTCCTCTTTTTTGCATCTTCTTGGAATATCATTTGCTACTGACCTTTCATGTAAACAAAATATACAATCGATTGCATCACTTTATCATTATTGTCATTTTCTTACCCTTGATTGTCATATTTGGGCTTGTTGTCATATTTGGGCTGGTTCTTCTTATGATGCCCTTTTTCTTCTAAACAAGCTCCATCTGCTAAGCTTGAGCCTCTTTCCCATTGTCGTAAAGTTGCATTTCTTTTTCTTTTCTACAAATTCTATCATGGTGGCTGCTCAAAAGGTTTATTATCTCTAGTTCCATTAACAAAAACTCATTCTCGCTTGACTCTTTATTATGCTAAATCTCATTCATTAGTTGTTAAATTTTATTAAATATAATAAATGTAAATAAACAATGTTTATTGTGTCAATATACACTAAAAACAATAAAGATAAAATTGAGGAAGATAAAATTATAAAAGAAGTTTTTATTCAGAACTGCTTCAACTGTGTTAACCTTTAAGCATACCAAAACAAAAATAAATTCAGTAAATTTCAGTATTTATTGTCCTATTTAAATCATAAATTAAAATATAAATTGAGATATTGCCATTAAAGTTAAATTTAGTAATTTAATGAATTTTTGAATATTTCCAAAAAAAAACAAAAAAACAAAAAAAACAAGAACCAAAAAAATGCATCACATCTCTAGGTAATATATACATAGATGTCATTTAAATAAAAGTAAGCCAGTGGTTACAAATTGCATTATTTTCAAAATAATTAATGCAACAGATGCAATTTTCCGTGCGTGATTTTTTGGAAATGCCCAGTATACTTCTAAGTGCATATCAAATGTTTGACCACTTTTTAGAATCAAACAATATAAAACGACCTGTTGTTGTACTATCTGATGGTCACTTTTCAAGGTTTGAAAGTGATGTATTGACATTTTTAAGAAGCAAAAATATTAGACTTTTTATCAGTCAACCTGAAACAACTGGTGTTACCCAGCTCCTTTATCAAATCAATCAGAAATTGCACTCTGAGTACAGAAGTGCTAAATCTTTACTTTAATCTTCGTTTATGACAATCAACAGAGAAGGTTTCATGAATATACTTGCAGAGTTATGGCCAGAGTGGGCATCAAAACAAACAATCATAAATACAGGTAAAAAAGTTGGCATTTCAAGTGGAGGACTCAGTGTTAAGTGGATGCAGGAAGATAAGTTTTTAAAAGCTGAGCTGTGTATTAATAAAAATACTGAAAATAATCTATTATCAACTGCCCTAACAATTTCATTTCCTAAAGATGTTTGCTATGGTTCAGCAAGATATTGGAAACATAAATACGAAAGTGCCATGGAAGCTTATCAAACAATATCTGATAAATCAATATCACTGGAAGAAATACCTAACTTGCCTGTAACCAAAGTAACACCTAAAATAAACAAGGAAAATGTTAGAGTATGATCAAATATTATAAAATTAAAGTAACACCTAAAATAAACAAGGAAAATGTTAGAATATGATCAAACGATTTTGTGAAATAGGATCCAAAAAATGCCTTTAGTTTGAGTCTGATAAAGATAACATTGAAGACTTCATTCCTATAACTGATTTTATCCAGAATACAACCTAGCATTCTCTATTTGCTGATTTTTGATTAAAGTTTACCAGGATCTTATTTTTATATTTTTTGTTTATAATATTTTTTTTGAGTTTGTTAATGTTATTTAAAAAAATATGCTAGGTATTTTGAATAGCAATTTTAAGAAAATTGTATTTATCCAATGTCCGCATCATTTAGCACTGTTTTTGGAGTCTTAAGGCAACATTTCTAATAAGGTTCTGCAAACTTATTTTTAGAAGGGCTTAAAATATTTAAAATTATTTTTAAAAAATGTGTTAATAGCTTGTTGATTTTTTTCAATGTCTTTTTAATTTAGAGTATTTTTTAAGTATTACATTTAATATTTTTTTATTTATGACTTAAAATTATATTCTTTATTCAGAATATTCAACGCTTTCAGAGTTTATTTAAAAAAATCAAGTTTTATATTGGTTTATTTCCAACTTGGCATTCTAAGGTCCCACTGCATTCTGAAGTCCTTTTACCTGAAGTTTTCAAGAAAGATTAAGTATGACTTAATCCTAGACAACGAAGGTTAGATGATTCATCAAATACATTACCATCCATAAATAATAAAAGATCTAGATTTTTATGATAACGATTAGCTGAAATAAAGTGAGTTTTATCTGAGTTAAAGTTTACCAGCCACTGAGAGCACTATGCTGTAGCCAAAGTAAGATCAAGTTCAAATGCCTCCTCCAATCAATCAGTGAGTGTTGGCTACTTATCAAGACTAGAATAAATGGTAGTATTATCAGGGAGCAATGCCACTTTAGATGTAAGAATTTCTGAAAGATTGTTAATGTAAATTAAAAAAAGCATAGGGCCAAGAATTGAATTTTAGGGAACCCATGAAATAACAGTAAAAAAGTTAAAGTGCATTCCACCAAGGACAACTTTTATGCTACAATTGGTAATGAAGGATTCAATAATCTTAAAAGTGTTACCTGATACACTGTAAGAAGAAAGCTTATAGTGAAGACCAGCATGCCAAACTTTATCAAGGGCTTTAGAAATGTTTAGAGCAATAGACTAAACCTCTCCAACTCTATCTTATGCGCAATAAAATCTATTAGTTAATAAATCAGCAGTAAAATGAGAAGATTGAATCCCATATTGATGATCAGAAAGTAAAGCTGGAAAACAAGATAACAATGGCAGTTTTGGAGAACACTTCTGCAAGTTTATAGTAGGTATGTTATCTGCACCACAAGCTGTAATAGAGTCTAAGCAGGAAATCACTTTAGATACAGAAGCTGTAGTGATAAGAATGTCAAGATATAGATCAACCAGTTTGTATCTATATATCTATATCAGAGATAAGATTGATGAGAAGTCCCTAGCAATTAATTTAGCAAGGTAAAGTAAGAAAACCTGAACCATGCAAAAGAAATGGTATAACAGATTTGCCCTTGTTATAGACACTGTTAAAAATTCTCCAGAAGTCTCAGGAGTCTAATTTTTAGGATGAAGTATGAGATATCGTGACCTTATTATTACGGGCTCTGGCATTAGACAAAAGCAGGTATGCTTATGATAACTCTTTTCACATTGATTTCCACCAATAATAAAAAGATGTCTGTTTTCTGGTTTTTACTTTCATATCTATCACCAAAACAAAAATTGTTTTGATAGTAGATATGGAAGTAATGGTTGGATGAAAATCTTTCTTCTCCATTGAGTAAAACCATGGAGAAGAATGAGTTTTGACTTGGAATTATTGAGTGGGAATAAATAATTCTATGCAAGCCTCAATCCATAAAGTTACATAAGAAGCACAATTGTCAGCAGGAATACAAAAGATTTCTACCCAAGAGCCATTATGAAGAAAATCATGTATAGAGTCCCAGTAAGCTTTAAGGTTGTTGGAAGAGGTACAATGATAAAAGAAAATTATGAAGAAGAATGAAATAATAGTTTCAGAGTGTTCAAACTGTGATCAAAAGCATTTAAGGGTGAATGTAGGGAAACTGAGCTCTGATCAGAAACAAGATATAAGTCGAGTAGAAAAGGTAAATAATTTTTATTGTTTAAAATGCGAGTTGAAAACTTGACTGTTTGTGTTAGAGATTGAGAGAGACAAAAATTGTGGGCCTTAATGCCAAGTCACTGACACTAGAGCCAAGCTAATAAGTGTGATGAGCATTAAAGTCATCAACAATAACAATATTGAATAAAGGAAAAAAAGGAAAAATTTTGTAAATTTTATCAGAAATTACATTGAAAAAAGTATAGTTTTAAGATGAGGGAAAGGTGATAGAGTAAAGTGGTGCTAAATGATAGTACATAAATAGTCTCTGGATTGAAACCTTTATTGACAAATGGGAAAAAATTACTAAATTTGGATAAAACAAATTTATCACAAAGCTTAAATATTAGTATTTTAAAAAATTATTGAAAATTGCATTTATCAATTTATCAAAATATTGACTGGAAAATATTGAATTTTTTATTTCTGTTAACTGTTTGCTTTAAACCGCCTAAATTTATGTGTAATTTAATGAAAATACTTATAAATAAAATAAGTTACAAAGTTCAGTACTGAATGTGCAGTACTATTTTTTTAGAATGACATTAGTCTTTTTTTTTATTGTTTTGCAATAAATTTTCCTTTTTTTTTATTTAAAAAAAAGACAAATTTTAAATGTGTAGTTTTTAAGAAAAAACATCAACAATAAAAAACATTTAAACAGTGTTTTCTAATTTTTTTAAATTATAATATTTGTCAATTTAAATTAGATATTTGGTAAAACACATTTGCTAGTGATTAAAAAAAGACTTATTTTAATAAAAATATTTGATAATATGAAACTCTCTGTTTAGTATATATATATTTTTAAATATTTTTTCAAATAAAATAAATTCAAAAACTTTTTAGTCTATATTTATAATAAAATAAATGTGCTTTTCAGAATTTGCTGGAAGAATTTTTTTCAATGTAATAAATGGATCTAAGTTCAATATAAATTCATCAGTTATTACATTTGGTCCCTTAAATTTGAGTGATGAGGGGCAAATTATATGTGAAGTAACTTTGAACAGCAAAAATCCTTATACTGATTCAACAAACTTAGTTATATTAGGTAAATTTTTTTTTTACTATATGAGTATTAAGTTGTATATGTATATGTAAATTAGGTAATTTGACTATACACTACTAGACTTATGTTTGCTTTATTTTTTTACTTTACATAATTTTCTCATAAATTGAAGCTCGTTCCAGTCAAAATTAGTGTAACATTCAGTGCTCGAAATAATTATTCGAAAGTTGCAGATCAACATGATCGACTGAATTAAAAAAATTAAAAACCAGACGATTAAATAATTTTTTAGACAATCATTTTTTTATAAAATTTTACAATGCATTTTTTTGATCCTACCTCACATAATTTTTGTTTAGCCCTTATAATTTTATAACTTTTAATTAATTATAATTTTATTTATTCTCTCTAGAATTTAAGTGAATCGTTCATTTTGCTGTTTTGAATTTATTATTTTTATTTAGAATTTAAGTATACCGTTGGTTTTGCCGTTTTTCTTTTTCTATTATTTTGAGTATATATGATCGGGAGGCTGCATAAGCGAATTGGCATATGTGCGAACTGGCATAAATGCGAAGCGTTGCAAAAACTGGCATAAGTGCTAATTGGCATATGTGCGCCAAAACATTTTGCAAACATTGGCATAAATGCAAATTGGCATAAGTGCAAACTGGCATAAGTGCGAACTGGCATAAGTGCAAAGCAGTTACAAAAACTGGCATAAGTGCGAATTGGCATTAGTGCGCCAAACAAATTTGCAAACATTGGCATAAGTGCGAATTGTCATAAGTGCAAACTGGCATAAGTGTGAAGCAGTTACAAAAAATGGCATAAGTGCGAACTGGCATAAGTGCGAATTGGCATAAGTACATCAAATAAAATTTCAAATATTGCCATAAGTGCAAATTTATGCCAGTACTTATGCCAGTTCGCACTTATGCCAATGTTTGCAAATTTATTTGGCGCACTTATGTCAATTCGCACTTATGCCAGTTCGCACTTATGCCAGTTTTTGTGACTGCTTTACACTAATGCTAGTTCACACTTATGCTAATTCGCACTTATTCTAATCTTTGCAAATTTGTTTAGCGCACTTATGCCAATTTGTACTTATGCCAATGTTTGCAAAATGTTTTGGCGCATTTATGCCAATTTGCACATATGCCAGTTCGCACTTATGCCAGTTTTTGCAACGCTTCTCACTTATGCCAGTTCACACATATGCCAATTCGGGCTTATGTTTATATTTTAATTATTTTGTTTGGAATTTAAGTTAACATTAGTTTTAATATTTATTTTAGTTATTTTATTTGGAATTTAAGCAAATGTTCGTTTAACTTTTTCGTTTAAATTTTGAATTTAAAAAATAATCTTTTGCTGTTTTTATTTAGAATTAAAATAAATTCAATGTCGTTTTTGTTTTAATTATTTTATTTTGAATAAAAATAAAACTTTTTTTTTTATATATTTTTTATTTAGAATATAAATATGTTTGTTTTTCCGTTTTTATCCTAATTATTTTATTTAAAATATAAATTAATTTTCAATGTGCCGTTTTTATTTTATTATAGAAAATAAACAAATGGTTTGTTTTGCCGTTTTCGTTTTATTTAGAATTTTTATAAAACTTTACCGTTTTTTTTAAATTGTTTATTCAGAATTTAAATAAGTTGTTTGTTTTGCTGTTTTTACCTACATTATTTTACTAAGAATATAATTCATTTCAAAATAATTGTGATGTTAATTAAATTTTAACTTTCTGTATTTAAAATGTTTTTGTATTAATTATTACAAAAGTTTGACTAGCAACTTCTGCCGATCAAATTTATTGGCCAGATTTAATTTTAGGCAATCAAAATGTCAAATTTTCAAAAGAAGACGATCTTCGATTGTTGATCGGCCGCTATTTTGGGCGTTGAACATTAATTTTAGACCTGTATTTTGACCTTTTGCAGACTTTTTAATAAGAGAAAAATGCCTAATGTATTCGCCTTAGAGAGTTTTTTGACTGGTCAAAATTTTTTTTATTTGCTTTTCATGTTTATATTTGTTATTGAATGTTTACTTGGATTCCAATTTTTAAAATATAAAAATGTTTCTTTATTGTCTTGACATTTCACATGTTTTGTCTATAACCAAATGAATAAAAAAGATTTTTATTTGAATTTTTTTTAAATTAATTTTTTTTTTAATTTTTTGAAACACATTTGCAAAATTATTTAAGTATTTGAGTAACAAACTTTAAATATTGCAATAATTTAAACCGCAATAGTTAATTTTTTTGCCAGCAGTTTTCTTTTATACAAAATGATGCTTGTGTTATTGAAATGTGTTTTTAAAACTTGTATTATTTAAACAAATTTAATGTATG